TATATCGTGTATATATATATACGTATATATATACACGATAGAATACTACTTAACCATAAAAAATAATATTGCCATTTGCGACAACATGGATGAACCTAGAGAGTAGTATGCTATGTGAAATAAGTCAGACAATGATAAATACCATACGATTTCACTTATATGTGGAATATAACCAACAAAATAAATGAACAAAGAAAATAGAAACAAACTCATAGATACAGAGAACATTTTGATGGTTGCCAGTTGGGAGCGGGGTTGGAGGGATGGGCGGAAAAAGTGAAGGAATTAAGAACTACAATATAGTAGTTATAAAAGCAGTCACGGGATATAAAGTACGGCATAGGGAATATAGTCAATAATATTGTAATAACTGCGCGTGGTGTCAGATGGGTACTAGACTTATTGGGGTGACTACTTACTAAGTTATATAAATGTCTAATCACTGTGTCGTACACCTGAAACTAACATGAGATGGTATGTCAACTGTAATTAGAAAAATTTTTTAAATTGAAAAGAAAAGCAGTCTGGAGTCTGCAGCCCTGGCTGCTGACACACAAACACCCACACTTTCACCTGCTCACATGCTCCGATGCCTGGCACATCTGCAGCTGGCGGCTTCATGCTCCACTCCCCAACCCCACTCCCAGGTGAGGCTCGGTGTCCACTGGGGGTCAGAGAAGTTAGAACTCTCCTTACTAGTCTTCCTTGCAGCTAAATAAGAATTGGACCTCAGTGACTGGTGGACAGACAAGAGGAGTGACCTCTGGTGACACCAGAACATTGGCAAGCAAGGTACAGTGGCACACACAACCGTGTGCCAGCAACGGTGTGTGTTCATATACTCTGCTGAGTGTGTCAAGGCTTTGTTGTGCTGGGGTGAATTCATCCAGGAGAGGAATCTCCATTCCTGTTTGTGGCTCTGCTAGGAAGCCCAGAATTTTCTCAGCTGCCCCTTAGAAATTTAGGTCTATAAATGACATCCCTTTGATGAGGTTCCCTTGGGCAGTGCACAATCTGGTTACTTATCTGTAGAATTGGTTGTTCTTTTTTCTCCTCATTTCTCCAAATAGGATAAAACTACCATAAGCTCAAAGATACCTGTGTCCCTTAAACAAATCCAGGATTCTTGAGATTCCTGGGTACAACTTGCCATTCCAGTGGAAGGTTCACCTCCTTTCAGTCACGTGGCTCTTCATTCTGCTCTTCTTGACTATCTTTTCACAGAATTCATGGGGAAGAAACATCGCCAACCTCCCAAACTTCCCAGACACCTTGCATTTCCTTCTCTGGAGAGTGAGGGAATGACAGGCAGGGACGCAGAGCTACAGAAGGGTGGGCCTGGCAAAGGAGTTGCTTCCTTTCCGATGCAGACCCAGCAGGCAGCAAGAAAGGAAGCTGCAGGTCGTGCATGAGGTGGATCACTCCAGGTGAGCAGTGACTTAGGAGGCAAATCACCCTGGGGATAGGGGCGCAGCAAGACACGACATAACGACATAACGTTGATTTGCACCTACTACACCTGCCCCTTTTCAACTGCATGCAGTCTCTCCACCTTAACTATTTATCTTCAATGTGATTTCTTTCAAAAGAATATAGTTCAGGACTCTTGGTTGCAAGCAGCAAAAATGCCCTCTCACTATTTTAATTAAAAGAGAGAATTCATCGTAAAGAGAGAACAGTGTCTCAGAAGTGCAAAGGCAGGGATGTGGCCATTCTTGGAACCGGTCAGGAGTGTCAGCAGGACTGTCTCTGTCTCTGACCTGCGACTCCTGTGTGTGTTTGCTTCCCCTCTCTCGGTATTACCCTTCCATGCTTCATTCATGGAAATATATCCATGCCCAGCTCCTGAGTTTATTTCTCCCTTGTTCAAGAGCCTAGCCAATTTGAGACTTCTGGTCCCAGGCTAGTTTCTGAGGAAGGGGCTCGGCCTAGCTCCATCAGACACCCACTACAGGTCCAACCAAGGGTGGTCTGGAGGGTGGGGGCCACTCTAAAGGAATAGTTGCCAGGAGCTTCTGGAACTAGGTGGGGGCAGGGACAGGACAGGGGAGACAGAGCCCAGAGAAGAGGATCCTGTGCAGAAAGCCAAAAGGTGGTTTCTCCCAAGGGACATAAAACCTGTCTGTGGTTCCTTCCAAGACGTCCATCGTCATCACCTGCATGCTGATCACGGAGGTGGGGATCATCTCCATAACCAGTCATTTGCCCAAAAGGAAGAGAAGTCAAAGGAACTGAAGGCGTAAATTGCAGTTATGGGGTAGGGGGAGGGTGATTAGGGAAAATGAAAGGGGCCCAGGAACAGCTTTCAAAAGAGTAAATGTGACCCTTCTCCTGCTGCCTGAACCCCTGGAGGCCCATGCGGCCAGCCAGACAGCGGTGGCCTGGGGAGATTCTGCTTCACAGTGACAAAGGCACCATGAGAGGTGACAGACAG